TCTGACACTCCAAAGTAAATTGCTCAGGAGTGGGACATTTATTACTTGGTCTCCATCGTGAATACGTCTTGAAGCTTATGCATATTTTTTAAACACGTACAGCGTTGTTTTTCATAAAGTTATTTACAATTTGGTGATCTAACCCTCGTGTATTGTCCTATCTCGCCGGCTGCATTCTTCAAGCATTACTCGCAGCCTTGTTGTCATATGTTTAAAAATTACTAGGCTTTCTTTCCTTTTTAAGAAATAAGCACATTTCCTTGTTGGAAACACCTACGACTCTGTTTGGAAAATATAATTTTATTTGAAAAATCATAAAACCATCCTTTTGCAAGCTATTGATACAACGGACCTAAGCCTCGTTGCCTGCAATATGTCGCTCTTGAAAGCAGCGGTCAGAACATGTACACTGTTCAGATGTTCCTCACTTCATTACCTTTTGGAAAAATGCATATTCTCTCACCAAGGAAATAAGCATCTAATCCATGATCCTACTGAAGTCCTGAACATCCAACTCAGAATCGACAGCCGGACACATCACTCTCCGTCGGCCAGCCGCGATCGATTATTCAATCAGAACAGAATTTGATCAGTATGGCAGGACTGAAATCTCTCTCCGTGACTCATGACTTCGTAAACTAATTATAAAATATCGCAGAGTTGACACGCTTGCTTGAAATGCTTTTGACATGTACTGCGACCATCAGATATCCTTAAATAAAGTAAAGGTGGCCAAACTCATCGATTGTGTTGAAGTAATTTTTTGTCTTCTCTTGCTCCCATCGGTTTGGCCTGACATTTTGGTACACAGTACTGGGCTGGTGAGACTTCTGTTCTTAAAAAAATTGTTTGCCGAATTAATTGACCTACGAATGCTCGGTGTACGTGACAAGGACAAATCCTCAGATAAAGAACATCTGCTTAAAAACTGGTTTGATCATGAATGTTTAAATTATTATGCGAGAATGATATCTTTTTTGCAAATTGATGGTAGATCACATGTTTACGGGTGTACTCAGAAGAGAGTGAAATCAACTTTTAATGATCTGCAGCATGAACAGTATCTGCAATTGCACTAAACTACTGCTAAACTACAGTGAAACCTTCCGTTAGGGTAAACTTTTAGTGACCCTACTGTAAACTGTAGTTACGTGCCGGGCCACATCAGCGTCACCAGTGTGTGACGTCTAGGGCAATGGGTTTACCAGGGGTCGGCCCACTCACTAGAAAAAGTCTCGATTAACAGGAAAAAAATTAAAGACGCTACAGAGAGAGGCATTTATCGTTTCACAGAATCCAGAGTTGTTGTCTGAGGCAACAATGACCGCTTGCGAGAGCAGAGTGTGTGCTGACGGTGTTGATTCATGTTTTAGGGCGAGGCAGTAGGGGCAGCTGTCTTAGTAGGTTTGTGAGCATGTTCAAGTATTGCCCGATTGGTATGCATTCCCATACTTCAAGGGTAGTGTGTCCAGTGACATACGGGCTGCCGCGACTGTTTGCACGCATGTGTCCAAACTGAAGCTTGTCGAGTGGCGCAGGTCAGGTTATGTGGTCGCTTTGCGGAAGAAGCATTCACGATGAAATTAAATGATCTTGATTTTTTGAACGCAAATGGAAAGAGTATGGCACGGTTGCGCTTGGCGTGATAACTGCTTGATTTTCCACTGCAAGACTTTGCAAGAATCATGAAAGAACTATAAGGAAACACGATGCTGTACTTTCATGGTAGAGGACCGTGAATAACTGATTTAACGGGTGACTGGCCGGGCTGGAAACAAAGAAAGGCGAGACAGTGCCGGCGAACAAGCTCCGCAAGCGGCCTTTCGAAGCCATTCAAAAAATAAATACTGCTAAACAACCGCTCGTCAGAGGCTCTGTCGAAGGAAAGAATGCAGACGTTAAGGCAGGAAGCCTCATTTAAAACCGCCTATGTCAAACCCGTCAAGATGACTACGGAAATTATGATGGAAACGACGAAGGAGACGAAGATTGTTACAGAAAGCCATCTGCCGATCCTCCTTATGGGAAACAGGCGGTGCAAAACTTTCCCCAAGGCCCGTTGTGATGCAGTAAAGCGACTCAAGGCCGATAAAGCTATTGTTATTGTGCCAGCGCTTAAGAAGAGTTTTACTTTATTTTGAGTAGAATAAACTACATTCTGAAAAATAAAAGCATACCTTAGTGTCATCCTTTCTATGCATCCGACCCCGTAAAACTTTAACGTGCGAATTATATACGATCCTGCTGTCGCGAAAGAATATGAGTGGAATGTCGTCAATCAACCGACAGTTCGACCGCCAATTTTGGCGATGTCCATTGTGTTCTCCATAGCAGGGTAAGATCAGGGACGGTGATCTGTGCTTGAGTTAGTTTATAGTTGTATTAGACTTGCGCAGCATCAACCGCACTTTTCCTCATCCCCCACCTGTACCCTATGTCAAGTTAGACTCGAGAAGACCGGAAGCGGGAGAGGCTGCAGGTGACCGGCATGACGAAAACCCCCACCTTGGCGTAACATCACACCTTCTGCTCCACCACATACCCTGACAAGGACTTTATACAACAACAACAACAAGAATGCGGAGGCGGTCAGAATCCCAATCGGCTCGACGTGAGCCCGCTATTGGGCCCACTGATAAACCCCAATTTTGACATTTGTTATGGGTGCACATTACCGACTTAACCTGCCGGACTTCCATTTAGACTCATCGTTTCTCGTCCCTCTTCTTTTCTATTCCCCGTATTTGGTTGTCAAGACTATCGTACTGCTCCTGCAAAGCTAATGTGATGAAAAATTGCTTTGGACACGCCCAAATTCTCAAGCCACAGAAGTTCCGTTTTGGGAGGTATTTAAAATTCGACGGGGAGAAGAGCGAATATTTTTCAGTGTCAGACCCGACAAGCTAAGTCGACGAGTACGTATTACACCAATAGTCAGGTCGAGTTATAAGACTACATCAGGCAACGCCTCGGCTGTGAGCGAGTAAACAATTACGGCATCAATTATGACCAGTGGTCATAACTGGGGGAGCTGTATAGTGTAAATCCTGCAACCATTTTAAGACCACTAACCGAATCCCAAAGATCAGTCCAATAAATTTGAAAAGTCAAGTTGGCAAACACGCGTTTCAATACATCCTGATAAGAATTTCCTCGTCACGTGTGCCTCCTCAAGTCTGGTGTTAAACTTTAGGAATTCACTGAGTTCCTTTAACACCGAGGGATCTTTGGATTCTTGCTCCAATGGTCGAGGTGTCATCATTTCAATCCCTAATCGAAACTAGCTTCCTCACTTGCATCGGTCACGATATTTGTTGATCTGGCTGCTCAACTACCACCTATTCCTGAATTATTCGGATGAGTTTTGCTTCACAGAAATCCAGGTACAACCGCACAGGTGTTTAACTTTGCAAATTTGTTGTAGTTGACTTTATCTGCTGGATGACATTTTTCCTGCCGCGAAGACACTCGTTTCTTTGGCATTTAAGTCCTTAAATCCTGGTACTTTCGCAAATACTTGTTCCATTTCCAAATGTGCAGAAAGCGTGGATTCACCTCTAGGTTGCACAGATCCATATTTTTGGTGATGGTAAAGATCAGGAGGAAGATTCTCCTATAAAACGCACAATACAAATAAAATAAGGCGGTTTTCTTTCCAGAAAACATTCTTCACTGTTAGACGCAGGCCAGAACGGCAACAGGATCATAAAGAGGTAGATTTTAAGTTTCTGATTGACCGTAGATAATACGTTTTAGTGATTTATATTTTGTTATTCTATGTCCTGCAGTAAGTATGCATCAAACTTCCCATGGGGAGAAAAGAAGATGAGGAAACCCGATAAAGTGATGAAGAAAACTTTTTTTACGGATGGCAACAATTCGTTTCAGGACGATGCATTCTGAATCATCGAAGACAGCAGCCCAAGGATGGAACTACTTACACCAGAGGCGTGGTTTTCATATGCCAGTCCCGCCGACGCGTACATCTATTTCTTTACGTCTTGCAAATTCACGCATCACTACTCACACAGAGACCAGGGCAATATAGCCGTAATGAACTTAAGAAAGCCGACTAGAGGTGGCCCGACAGTTAGCTCACTCGGAGAAAGGCAAAGGGTTTATCAGGTCAGATGATGGCCACAGGAGCCCGGCTGACCTCTACTGAAGTGAAGGCTGACAACATAACCAGTGTCCGAATCAGCTACGCATCCACCGAAATGACCTCGGTGTCAGAGGTTGAGAAAAATAAATCAAACCTAATACCTCGGCATTTTAAACATTTCTCCTTATAATTTTTGTAAACTAATTGCTATGTCAACGGACAGAAGAACAAAATTTTTGAATTGGCAGCTATAGAACAAATTTGTCACATATAACCCTTCCTCGTTCATAATAAGTCACATTGGAATTGTCATATTTACCGACTTGGATAAATGTATGATTCTATTTGTGGGTTTTGAAATGATATTTTATTTAAAATCTCACAGATATTGTCAGGACCTTAGTGAAAACGATATTGTGGTGATCAGTTGACAATCCGATAGCTGAATTCTAAAGTTCTGCCAATGAAAGAAAAGTTCGAAAAAGCAACGTGTGCGGGTATTTTGAGCGTAATGACAGTTATGACACCAAAACTTGTAATTTTTTGTGTGACGCCATTCATGAGGAAATCATGACAGCCTGAAAAGCTTTCTTCTACAACCAATGAGGTTTTTCCCCTGTCTTTCACTGATTGGTTGAAAAGGAAGGGCTTTCCAGTTGGGCATCTTTAACTTGGCGTTTACGAGAGCTTCCATAAATTGGGGCTTCACCCGAAAGTAACTGACCTCACCAGGCGTGGCGATAATCTTATATTCTGCCAAAGACCATGCTGTAAACAGATATTTTGGGACAAAATCCCAACAGAAGGCACAAACACACCCACTACGTGCACCTCTCCGAAAATGGAAAATAGTACAAACATCACTTTAGATAATGAACTGGTAATCGGCCTGACGTACATGCAAGAAGTCGTTACGCCCGACTGCAGACGTGGGACCACCCTTATTCTCGCGGGTTTTCTTGTTGTTGGGATCTTATGTAAGTGTCTTTACTTAATTAACAAAGCATGCTACGAGCACGCATTGCAGCAATAGCGCTTTTATACCGGTATACATAACGAAACTGCTTAAATAACGGACATTTTAAGCGCAGCATCTTTAGGGAAATATTTCCGTTTGCTGCTTTTTTTACAGGGGATAATAATTGTAATCTATTTATTAAGAAGATAAATAGCACTATGACAGCTCTGGTGCTTGCGAATTGCTTTAAGGCTCACCGACTCGTTATTTATATCAAATTTTCTTTTGTTACGTTGTGTTCATTAATCCGAAACCGCGCAAGGGCCCTTTGGACACCGTACTTATCTGCTGTTGACAGAAATTGGCACTGCGACCTAACGATATCGTCAGGAATGTGTTCTAAACTTTATGGCGTCAAGGGAATTTTGAAATCCACTAAATCCTTCCATTGTCTAATATTTCCAGGTTGAAACTCTTTTGCAAAGCTAAATATGCCTGCAGTCTGAAGTTTGTCGCGCCGAATAATTTTTAGTTTGGATCTCAGCAAATGGGAGCTTGTAAAGTGAAATTAAGTAACGATGAATTAAGCAATGTAGCAATATTACACTACAATAACCTCCCTAAGCAACATCCCGCAAACCGTTTAATTATGTGTACTTATGACTTCGCTGTTAAGATAGACGTTCCTGCCGCCTACCCAACTCATTTTATGCAAAGCATTCTCAGGAATTTTATGCTAAACGATTTGACAAATTTGACTGATTTTGGTCAAGACAGAAAATTTGCAAACAAATAAGTAGTTTTGCCAGTCTAGTGTTCGTAGTTTTTAACCTCTTTTTTCTTTAAGTAGAGATACCAAATTTTAGTCCTGCCATAAACTTACAGCAATATACCAATCTAGGCTAGTTATGCACCAATTAAATCAATTAAACTTTTGATTACTTCCAGGGTAAGTGTGCGGTGGCTTTGATGAACGAGCTAAGTGGAAACAGTTTCATGAAATTTTAACTAATTATATGAAGGCCGTCTTTATCGCATGAAGATGCAAATACGGTGCCAATAGTTGTTCTTTCCGAAAAACCTAAAATTTTCTAATCAGTCAACTGAATAAACGTTGTGCGTTACTGTATTCCGCAGTCTTTCCTGCCTGTAGATGTGCACGGGCTAGTTCGGCAGACGTTATGCGTTGGTTGGGGACATAAGCATGTTGAATACTGGAAAATGTAAATTGCATGCAGACATTGGGAGATATTGTTACTGGACATCTTCACATGCTGGCTTATTTTGGACATTAATTCCTAACCAAAAATATCTTATCTGTATTGAAGCGAGAAAGACGCCTAAAATGGGTTTCCAAGTCGTATTAACTTGAAACGGCCATGCAAGTCAGCGCATAGGTCACTACATGCTAAATTTGAACTGAATGCTTTACCTATGTATTTTGCATGGAAATATGCATTGGAAACGACGGTTTAGACAGTGAGTTTATTGGCATTGTCGGTATCTTTATACAGAACGTGACCTAGCTCATGAAATCTGAAAACGGAATCTGATTGGAGAATTTTTGGACACCTTTAACGTGGCGCATTTTGTTTGCTCACCAACATCCTACAATGAACTGCCCTAGTCTTGTTCAGAAATTGTGTTTGCGTAATAAGTTTAAGTGACATATCAGTGAATTTTAGCGAAAATTGACGTTGGATTATATTTCTGTAATTTCCTATGCTAATATGTGTCCTAGACTCCAGTAACGCATCTAAACGACTTTTTCATTGAAAAGCTAGTAATTTATCCTCGAGGATTTAAACAAACAGAGTTAGCCGGACTATAACTTTTTTCATGTCTGATATTGACCATGGTTATCAATCTCCCAACAAAAACGCTAGTCTGAGAAAACCAGATGTTTTATCAATTAATTTATGTCAACTTAGTAGATCTGTGCGAATTGTTGCCCTAAAGTGCAATAATAACGCCGATAGGGTTTCATTCGATTATGTGGGCTGAAATTTTTTGCCGTTTGGAAAAGTCTACCTGATGTCACTTAGATGACCACCACATAATGGCCATTTGCAGCTTAAAACATATGGCACACCACTTTTCTATTATTCTAACTCCTGTGCATACTTTTTTCAGAAATGGAACGAGCAAAACATTTTTAGTTTCATTAAAATATCAGTATTTATATGGGCACTCTGTCGTGCTTTCATAATCGAAGAACGGAGTCTAAAAGCGAACAAAAACAGTGGAAATGGCCTCAATATATAGAGAAAGGCATGTTCTTGCGCTTACGGTAGAACAATATTAGTATTGCTTAGGAATGTGAAAGAAACCGTCAACAGTGTCAAATTTTTACTTGGCCTCGCCGTGCTAAAATGCAAAGTACGCAGAGACCCGTCGACGGAGGGCAGTAATAAAGCACTTCCTAAAGAGGTAACTTATAAAGGAAATTTTTCTTATTGATCGAAGGCATATTCGCTGATGACTTTCTTATTGGACAGACATCTTTCTCGAAAATGAAGTTTCATGTTTGAACGAGTCTTCAAACATGACTCAAACGACCATCTTCGTAAAAAGGAGCGCCTGAACACTCAGTAATTCGGTAAATGCCTTCAAGAACAATATCATTTTTAAGTTCTCAACAGACAGGTAATTTAGAATCTGCCTTTATGGGCGATCGGGTGAAAGCACTGGCAATCATGAAGTATTCAGCAATATTTCGAGGCCGATCTGAAACTCAGCGTAATCAAAAACAAACGAAAAGTGTAAATTACTTTAACGGAAGAAAAGTGCTCTCGTTAAACACAAAATGATATGTATACGATCACGCCTGTCAGCTCTATTTAAATTTATTAGGCATCGACCGGCTTCATGGCATGTCACCTTATGAAGACTTTTGATCCTACGACGTCCCCATCGGCGAAATCAAGCAATATCCAGCTTCTCTTGTTGAACCCCATCTCATTTAACCGCAAATCGTTAATGAAATTATGAAACACTGGAAAACTGTTTTGGAATCTACACCCAGAATGTAGGCAGTTGACAAACCGTCATGTATGAGGTCACGCTACTTATTAAACGATATGTAGATGAAAATTCACTAAAACGCTGTTATTAGACGTGATTTTATGTCTTCTTTTATATTTAGTACGTGTTTGGTATGAGAATACATTTTATGCATCTGTAAACGAACTTTATTAGAGCCACTTCTGACGTTTTCGGGATATTGCGCTTTTCAAAATAAATCGACATTTTTGAACAACGCAACACTGCCTATAATATTTCTCTTGTGTTTTTAATTCTTTTAAATTTAAACTTAATAAACATAGACATTTAACTCATGAAATGGTGTCGGTTTGCGAGTGATTGGTAATCATTCGTAAATTTGGACATATTCCATGAGTGAGGTCACTCATTGTACTTTTCATTATCATTTTAGGAGACAATAATCAAGCAGATTTTAACGCATTGTTTGGTAGAATGGCTTCTTAAAATGTCGTTCCTGCGACGGTAGGTGTTGCTAAATGCTAGCCGAAAATTTTTGAACACTTGCACGGACTTTGTTGTGGAAAAAAGATCACAGTATTTATGTTTTCAATGCAATATTATGGAAGTACTGAAATACCATTTAAGCAATAACAAATGCAGCTATTAACTTATCTTAAATGAAGCATTTTGTACGTAGTTTCGGAAAATTCAATGATTATAGATTTACAAAGGTAAGGGAAGCCTCTCTTGACCGGAGTGCTTCTTTTGTTTCAACTCTATGTAATTGCCTATAAAAAAGACATAAGTGGATAGTTCATGTGAATTGTTTTATCCGGAATATGATAGGAATATTTTTACCGCATGAATTCATTTTAAAACAAATATAGCCTACAGGAATTTTCGACTAAATATAATTAGCTCTGATTTCAGAATAGGTTAGATTAAAGGGTATCACATCGTTATGAACTAAACAACACTGGAGTGTATCTCCCGTTCGCAGTGGTACAAGCTGACCCACATAATATTTTTTTGTTGAAAGCGCACTGCACAACCTCGGTCTCGGAGTTTCGTAATAACTGGTGTCTGTCAAATGCATTTTGCAGACCATCGTACTTTACGGACGTTTTTTATGTTGAACAGCGCTTTTTTCGGAATTACTAATGGTCCTTTTGAACCGCTATATTCACTGTGGCCTTTGCTGTTGTACTTTTTTCCTTTAACCTGTAGAGTAATTGCCAAAACACTGCGGATAAACACCATCGCACTCTTGCTTTTGTATCGCTATTTATTTCATCAGCATTTTATTTGCCTGACTTACCAGCAGGCGCTTTCTTTGTTCATACGCCCTCCAGTCTACCCATCTGACACCTCCTTGGTGCCACGCGCCTAACTGGATCATTAGTGACCATGAAGCTGATATGGACTAAGAGGATAAGTGAAACTTATTAACTTAATTTCCCCTAGGTCTCGGAAAGATCTGGCAAATTTTGCCCTGCTATATTTTAAATCTACAGAAAGGTCAGATGTAACTGTTCAATTCAGTTTGTACTCCTGTGGATTGCGCCAGTACAAAAGGATGTAACTCTTAATTAGTAGAAATGTACAACAAGAGGTCATGTGATCCTATTTCAAAGGGTTGTATTCGACGAAAATAGAGAGCTTAAGATGTACACAAAGAATATTTGATTCAGGTTAAAGTGGTTTAAGAGGTTTTAAAAGGTGAGACTTGGTGGGGATCAGTAAACGTCAAAAAATGTTAACTTCGCAATTGGCATAATAAACTCCCTGAAAAAGCGAACACATCTAGATATTAGGAATTTACGAACCCTGTATTAAAATAGGCGCCAGATTTAAATGATTAAGAATTTTGCTATGAAAAATTTGGCCGCAGTCACAGTTACGACACCCGTTGGTATTCCATGCTAAATCTGGATGAAGATTCTGAGCCATCCTACTTCTCACCAACGTGTATACGCATCTTTAGTCCTTGTAATAAACCAATCTTAATGTCCATTTGTAAACAAACAGCTGCCTGCTGGTGGCCTGTGGATATTACGTGATTAATCAACCTTGGCTGACAAAGTTCGATCTGGTTGATGAATTCAGTTTTTGGGTCGAACTGAAAGGAGCTTCCTCTGAAGAATTTGGAGCTCAAAAATGCACATCACCCAAAGCTGAAAATGTGAATTTTAAACTGATGAAACACACATATACTAGACAACACCCAAGGAACGCAAGGAGGACCTCCTGTGAATAACACCCCCCTCAGTGCTCCCATGCAATGGCACAAAACGAAAAGAGCTTTCTCTGAAGAATTGCAAGTTCAAAAAATGTATCATATGTGGTTGAGAGGAACTCCTATGACTAATACTACTCTCAGTTTATGCAACGGCAAAAATCCAAAAAAATCGAGTAAAGTTAACGAAGGTGGCGAACAGTCGGACGTCAGAACCATTTAGCAAATGGTTTTCATGTTTCATCCGTGAATTCACTCATTCACCTTTATACCCGTCTAGGTATTAAGGCATTATTTGTGCTGTCAGTAGGCCAAATCCGTCTGAGTAAATGATGTATCTCAAAGGGCCTGCGTAAGGCACGCGCTTCGAGCGCATTTGTTGAATTCGCAATTAATCAAAAACGTATGTGTTTAGAACTCGCTTACGATGTCCGCAGATTGGTGGGTACGTTTACAAGGATGGAGAATTGGGGCTTTGAGTGTTTCTTAAACTACAGCGTCGATGAATACGTGACAGTCCGTGAATCCAAGATTTTGGTATCTTCCAAGACAAACCTGCGTTCTTTCATTATGAATTGCTTACTAAATGCATGAATTAGATCCGTCCTCGCCGCTGTTCTAAATTCTTCACGCGGACGTCTATACCCATCTTCTGCATTAACCAAACATCATTTGCTCTGAGGGAGCACTGCTGTATTTGCTTAAATACATAAAGCGATTCATTTATTGGTAGATTATCTGAAAGATCCGTCGTTTGCTTCAGCCAGTTCCTTTAGGCATTTAAAGAATCACAGCACACCAGGGAAAACCAAAGATCTGTCAAGAAAATTATCTAACGTCTGCCAGACTCCCGATTCTTCATAACTATTGCTGGCCTTCTACGTCATTTGGTCTGTTTGCGTGGGTGAAGGGTCGATAGGCGCCACAAACAAATGCATGAAACACTTGAATGCTTATTTCTGAATTATTTGTTGTTCCAAAACGTGTTCAAGCGCTTCCGGGAGTTATAGAAATCGCACGTATGTGGCCCTAACTTCTCGATATGTAACAGGCTCCAAAAGTACAGGACCTATGTCCGCTTTCGTTTATTTACCTTCTAGCTATTCCAGTCTCCTCTGGAGTCTTCAAACACAAACACTTCCGTAAAATACTTAGTGATCTTTGATCTTAGTTGATCTGTGAGCCCTTGGTGGTGAATCTGAAATATCAGACCCTAGCATGAGATTTTGTTTTCTGATGAATCAATGAGCCCGACTGATGAACCATAATCTGCAGACAGAACCTATTAAAGAGATATCGCAAAAAGAACGAACGGCAGATGTCAGAGTCAGTTCAGTTTTGGAAAGTTTATCCTCCAACAGCTGAAAAAGTTATTTTAGACGGCTTCTAAACATCCACACCTACATTCATTTTCTCTGGCAGTCTGGCACGGTGGTATCTTGAGTCGTCTCGTTAATCATGTTCCAGAAATTTTCCGCATCCTCTATCCTGTCTCCATTTTCAACAAAACATTAAAGGGCGTATCATTTTAGGGTAAGAAATCGCTTTGAACAATAATTGGACACTGATACCTGCAGCAGGTGGCTGATGTCAGGTGTATGGGCGGTTTTTCTGCATTTATTGACTGCGCAGTTGGGGTCAAATGAGGAAATATCTCCGTATTTCTGCCTTATTTCTACGTTTATCTTTACCTTATTTTATGCCGTCAATGAAATAAGAGTCTCATTATGCATTGAAACGTCGAGCGTTAAGAAGGTCAAAGAAATCCTGGATAACTGAGGCGTTTTAGATTTTGTGTGACAAAAGATACATAAAACACAACATTTGCTCATGGGTCACCGTTTTCGGGCCCTCGCCCTTGCGACAGACAACCTCTCTGCGTTTTGATACAGTTGTCTGCAGATGGACACCATATACACACTTTAACGTCGTCCCATACCTCGCTTGGTCGGCCATGAATACTTGTAAGCCACCGGTCAAGGACTCCTATGCTAATGACTGCTGTGTCCTTGAACTGCCAGTGTTCATTTTCCCACCTTCATTAATGACACCAAAAGAAATGAACGGAGTCCATTTAGGCGGGAATTTGATTCAAGCAAAATGCTACTGTTGTGCTGTCACCTGCTATGACTTTTGAACTTATTAGATTTGAGGGTGTGGTTCTTTGTTGAAGCATTCGTGTACCGTTCTCGCCCATGAACTCAAACACGAGGTGTGGTCTTTCCATGCTGAGAAAACTAAGACCGGGAGTTTGCTTCGGTAATGTCCAGCATCTTATGCTACGAGTACTCTATACTCTTCCAACATGCGGCAAAAGATACTTAACATTTCATGCAACGCCGCAGTGTCTACGCGCCGGACTCGTGTTCGGGTACGATAGTGTGGGAGGGTAGCTGACGGCTGCCAAGGGGAATCCAGTGATGCGGAGTGTTTGGCGGCCTTAATTTCCTCCTGAAGACGTCCGCGTCTCCTTACTTATACTTGCAGCTGCCCATTTAAGTTGTCCAAGAATCCACTTGATCTTACAACCCATTGAAGTTGGTGTAGTTAATCAGCTATGACTCCTGCAAACTTCTGTATCTCTCCACGAGTTGATATGGTGTCCTTATCAAAACGAATTGTTGTTAATCTAGATGACTGCTGTCTGAGCTCAGAGTTTACCTGATGAATTTCGCATTCCCCAATTACTTTGCTAGGAGTCGGTGATTTTTTGGTTAATATGAAACGCTTCTCCTCCAAAGTTTTGCTTAGGAACGCTAGTGGATTTGCACTATTTGTATTCTAAACTAGTAAAACATTTGAATTTTCCCCTTTTAAGTCCCATTTAAGCACTGACACTGACCATGCAATTTCTAGAGTTGCATTGGAGTTTTATGAGTATCCAAAACAGTTTAAGCTGGCTTACTTTTATCCATTAATCATTTCACGTTGTGCTCCCTTTTACAGTTAGATGTCTATTTTCTTTGCGTTAACAGTGATCATACCGGCGATTATGCAGACAGCTGCCGCCTACCTCTGGGTGGGTCAGTGCCAAAGACAACTGCTGATGGATAACCTTGGCCAACGCAGTCAGGCCGGCTTATCGCGAAACAGTGTGCCCACCTCGATGCGCAAACGCGGCGTCACCGAAATGACCCGAACCCTCTTTCTTTACCGTCTTATGGCATGCACAGCATCCCTCCTTGTGCTTGTCTTCTCCACGCTGCCACAGCTGGTGTTGGTGGTTGCAAAAACCCCTGAGGACAAGAGCATTGATCGACTGTGGGGTTGGTGCCATTCGCTGGTCTACTTCGATCACGCTACTCGCTGTTTTGCAACCTACCTCATCGTTGTGCCTTTTGCCATTTTCTTCTGGGATTTCTTCTTCTCCGAGGTCGTCCCCATGCGCCATCTCGTGGTAAAACAGATCTTTCGAATGATTGTTATCTCTACCATCCCAATCGCTCTCTTCTCCCTCGTTGCCGCTATTCCTTTGCTGATCTTCCGTTATGTCAAGGGATTCGATGGCGACGATGCAGTCTGTTATCCCCTCTCTGAAGGCACAAGCTATTTTCTGGCCTTTGATTTTGCTGTCACGCGTGTTCTTCCGGCTGTCATTATTGTGAGCGTTGGTTTGGCTTTCCTCCTGTGGTTACCGCGCAGGGATTACGGTGTTCTCTACGAGCCTATGACATTTCTCCTCCTTCTCGTGCCAGTGGTTTTAATGGAGTCGACAATCTACATTTTCTACCGCCTGGGCAAAATCCATCTGCTTATCAATAAACATTTTGCCAATATCCTTCACATTTCCTACGCCATCTACCACATGTCCTTCAGTAGCACATTCGTCCTGGCCACGCTGCGGGCCGTTGTCGCTGAAATACGAGAAGAACGTCGAAGACGGGCGCAGTTACTTCTTGGTGAGACTTCGAAGACCGAAGACCGTCAGAAAAAACGTCGAAACAATGTCATTGAGGGCCTTCAGAGGCAGTTCTCTGTCGCATTTCGTTGGCGTTCGGAGTGCGCAGAGGATGAATTGCACCTAGAAGACCACATCAAGAGCCGTAAACCGAGTGCTGAATTGTCCAAAGGAGAGGTCATGCTACTGGAGACCGGAGAGGTAGATTCAGAGGAACCTCCTGACGACGTAACCCTGCACTATTCTATCCTGCGCCGATCTGCGACAATCAAATCAGCCCAGGGTGGGACACCAACAAGCCCGATACTGCAGAGCTCGCGTGCTCAACAGGCAAGGAGAAATCAGCCTCGGCCAGACGCCAACAGTAATCCTCTTGCTGTATTCGAACAACCCCCACATTCACCAAGATCTAATCGCAACCGTCACAGGACAACACCTCACGGAACTCCTCGACTTCAGAGTAGGGAAATTGTAGATAGAATGGGCAATATTCAGAGACAAGGCACTTCGGCGGATCAGTACTTGCTGCCGTCGTCACCCAAATTACGCTAAATTACATGTAGGCTGACGGGCATTCACGCAATTTGGAGTGCTTTTTTAAAATATGCCTCTGTTTAACTGGAACAGATTCCAAAGGATGTCCTGGGGCAATCGCAGATAGGTTATTGCATTTCTATTTGTGTGAGAGTGCCGTTTTACTCGCCATGTTGATGCATTTCTGATTTTTTTTCAAGATGTATATAAAGCCTAACGAAGAATAAAGATGTTTGCGTTTCCCCTTGTAGGTTACGCATAAGGCCTACGATTCATAGTTTGTCGGTAAACTCAGTAAAAGTGTCCACTGCGGCGTTCTGGGGACAAACATCCCCATAGTAATCTATAACTTGGGATAATGCCTCGTCTCTTAGCATATAAATATCATATGCTTTTCGGAACACTTCAAAGTGCTTCATACAGGAATTTTTTGCCGCTATATGCAAATTCACACTGTCTTCCAGAACGCTTTAAACAATCAGTCTGTTCACCTGAGAAGTATGAAATTCACATAATTTACAGTGAGCTTAGCGGACAGGTTTACGTACGTTGCCTCTTATCAAATATAGGCGGTTTTTCCAGTTGAGTGACTGCTACGGAAACAATAGCATTTCATGCTGGAAGCTGCCGGCAGACAATGCGTATGGGATTGTGCATTTGAGACTGGAAGTGTAACCGGAGGCGCCTAATGCGATCGATGACATTGTTCTCAGTTTTAGTGATAAACGTCTCCTCTAACCCCAGTCAGAAATCGCCTGTTTGGTGAAATGCACCGGGGATCTGCTTTTTAAAGGACCTTGGCCAATGTTTAAGCTTTGCAAGCTCAAAATATACATTTTAGATGCTTCCAGATGTCATCTTTTTATTATGTCCACGAGTAAATCGCATAGTTCATTGATTTGCTTGTTTCTGAAAGCCACATTAACGCTCACTTGAGAGTATCAATGGCGAGCGAGTTGGAGAGGATGCTGCTCAGTTAAGAGAACTATTTTATTCCAACGGACATACTGAACGAACACTAGTGTTAGACAAACATGGGGGAGAGGAGGGTTCATTTTGTGGTCGTGTGCGCCAACAAAGTGCTTTATCACACGAGATCGGAATTTGTGATCAACCTAAATTTGTATGGAGTGTTTCCGAGGACACATGCATAATACAGTCACTAATTGTTCACCAAACACATCATAATCAAGACAGCTGTGGGATGCGAATTTGCCGCCATTGGAGAGAGACTGTTGTCTCGCCGTTCCCAGAACCAAACTCACAAAAAATTTTCTTGATAGTACTAGCTAAGGAGTACGTATCACAATTTCACGTCCAACGAAGCAGGGGCGTAAAGTGGGACCGTTTATGTTGTGGGCAATAAGCGAGTGAATCATAATCTGTGTTTTTTTTTCGAAACAGTCAATTTTGAGGGCACGTGCAGCTTATCAACGCAATCAACGCCCGAAAGGATAAATAATAATTGACTAAGTAAAAAACTGTTTAAATGTTGTTATGGTATTTTACGCGTACCGTCCTAACTTCCTGTGATTAAAAAAAAAGATTTTATGCTCAAACTCGTTGAAATACCGCCATAAAATGCAGCCTATCAAACAACTTGATCAACGGGGTGGGATTCTCGCGTGCAAGCATCCGATGGAATCATTTCAGAAATCTCGATGCGCTTTGCTCTCCGAATCCGGCAGCGGTGAAAGTTGATTCGACACTGAAGAAATTAATTAGCAAGCTTAAGTTTAGTCAACTCTACCGGTGCCAAAACTTGAATTTTATGCAAGTAAGTTGTCTAAATGTAACCTAACAGCAAGGGCTTGAGTAAGTTCTTGTTCCTCAAGAGGTCACTAAACTACTGTTACTAAATTGCGATGACAACGCAGATTTTATTGTCTACCCTCACCCTCAAACTCTTCAGATAGTAAACAAGTGTTTATCTTCAAATCTGTTTCCATCGGCCATAAAAGTACTTCAAATGCTGACGCTTAATTTGAAAGAATTTTGACATTTTACCTAACGGGCGACATTTGCAGTTAGATTTATTGTTTCGTATGCATACGAGTTTTGAAACGAAATGAAAGCAGAATTTGATTGTCGGTCATTTTTTTCAACTCCTGATCATAGTTCCTACACACTTTATTGCCAAACTCTGTTATACTCTACAGGGCAGTACATCAGAAGTGCTGATCTTTAAAAGAGGTGGGGCGGACTAGACTGAGCACAACTAGATTAATTTTGGAAGCTGTTAGACCGTCTTTTGGCAAGGGCAGAGCGTAAATGCTATTCATATGACACAGTACGCTGGCTCCTACAAATGTGGTAGTATGCTAAACAAGGTCATTTTTGACCAAATATTGAACTCAAGCATGAAGGACAGACTGATACTAAGAACCGCAGAATAGGTTTGTCTGCCAACGTCAACTTTATTTTCCGCGCGCACTGATTTCCGACACACGGAAGCCGCCAGCCCGCCCCAATTTAACAGAACTTCAACCTTTACCAGGCGGATGAATTCATAAGACAGAACTCCGAGTCTCTAAGAAAAAGTCGCATCCGATCAAAATGTTCCTGACTGTATGATTATAACATTCCGTCCAACCAACATGTAGTCACGTAGTCTTTGCCAAAATGCATGTTGAGCAGACGTGCGACTCACTTTCAGAAGTAAATTTATCAACATTTTTACTCCAATCTGGATATTTGTGTTAGTAAAAAAAAAACTTCTCCCACAAATTCACACAGGAATCGGCAGTTATGAAGTTACGTTCGTGAATGTTCGTTCTTGACATCTCGCTAAAAATCCTAAAATATGCCAATTTTGAGAGAAAGTTTAACTGATTCTGAAGTCATTACCTTGGAATAGGCCTAAACAAAAAGATGGTAAAAATGGCCTCAATTCCCATTTAAATTATTAACTGTGTACAGCAAACGGGTGTGAGCATACAGGAATTTTCTACGGGACACATTATATTGAAAATATCATTCATAAAGAAGAATTTCGGTTTTAAAACTGAAATGTATCCTTTACCGTTTTAGAACAATTACGAAACATCTGGAATGGGGTAAAAGTCCCGTTCTACCTCGTTGCATAAAAATATGTTGAACGAAATATTTTCGAGGTAGTCCTGATATGCATTTGACTTTGAGTCTTTACATTTTAGTGTTTTGTTTCTTATTAAATGTTTAGAATTTAAATCCCTCAGAGACGATTCTGACTACTCCGAGGTGCTCCAAAGCAGATTACTCAAATTAATTCTTCGAATTCTCTTTTCACTGGGGGTTACAACTCAGAATTTAATGTGCATATTTTTAACTTTTCTATCTTTACTGGGAAAGGAATAAAAGTCCCAAGAAATGGAATTGTATTTGCCTACAATTTCGGCCGTCAACAAGTCGCCTTCGTGGGTGGTAGTAACGCAATGATCCGCAGCACAGTTGGCCTTGCCTCCAGAGTCAAGTTAGTTCGGTCCATCCACTTCCTTCAGAGCAACCGTTTGTTGCGTCGGCAGTTGTTCCTTTGCCTGTAGAAAGAAGATCTCGCTGCAACTAATAGCGGGGGTGAGGAAAGGGGCAGAGGAAAATGGTGCCGATGGGACTGCGGCCATTAAAGCCTTTCCAAGGAATTTCGCCTATGGTTGTCACCTGATGGGGACAATGTCCACTGCTTCAGCCGTCATTATGCCTTAATTAGACTTTCTGTACATCTGTGTACGCGGCTTCGGTCTGTTAATAGGCAAGCCAGGACCTTGCAAACGTTAATTCGTTGGCTTGTGATCAAGTCTGCGATAGTCCCATTTACTTGCAATACTTTTGTTTCTGAATTCGCTGATTTCTAGGATTTGTGTAGTTTACAGTCAACAAGTGAAAAATTGTGCCATTTTCGCATCCATGACCCATTATTTCATGCATGAATGCCACCGCTAAGTGAGTGACTCACTACAATCGTGATGGAGTGGACGCAGAGACATCATTCTATTTTATGGTTTTGTATCTCAGAGTTGAGGTTTTCAACTACATATATGAAATCAATCTTAGAGGTTGGTAAATATGGCCGACTACCTTGGAAACATCTGTGATACGGGTGGACGTTCATCAACCCTTCAAATTCTCCTCTACTGATTAATTAAATTTCGTGTGTCGTATTCCGCTTTCCAGAAAGTGTCGGTGCACCGACTTTGCATTACAGTTCAATGGGCATCAGTCTCTTGGAAGTTTTATGGGTAGACACACGGAAGGAGTACCATTACCGTCTTTGTCGGTAATGCTATTCTATCTTTATCATGGGCCGCTGCGCGGCTGATGGTTGGGCTCGAGAGAGAGAGAACCTTAAGGCAGAATGGGACGAGTGAATTCTGTAAAAAGATTGTTGAGCTTCCTCCTTCTAGCATTGGTGAAGTGGCCTAGGGTTCGATGAGTAGTAGATGCTAGTGTCTCATCCGCGCTGTCACATCCCTCAGCTTTCAAATCCTATATCTAACGTATTGTAAACTATTTCTTGGGCTTTTGAAACTGGCCTGCCACTTTTCCTTTTCCATTCATCCTTGTGCCAGGGGAAAACGGACACATGGCTGCGTGGACTTAAAGTTATTTTTGCTTGCTCAAACTCATGACACTTTCTGGCGACAGTTTCCTTACATCTAAAGCGAAAGGGGGTCTCCGCACCTACTGTCTAAATTAGTTATAGAATATGCAAGCTTGTTGTTTTTTAGCGCGTTTCGCACGGATTTTCTGCTAAAATATACCTTATGACAGACTCATGACGCTGTCTGGCGATACTTTCCACTTACACCTGAAACGAGACGAGTTCCCCCACTTGGAGTCTAAAGAATAATAATAGAATATGCACGTTTTTGTTTCAATTGCGTTGCTTGTAGAATGTTTTCTAAAAAATACTTTATGTCAAGGTGAAAGGACTGTCACCCTTTCCTGTACGGTAAATTATTGCGAGAGTGGTGACTTCTGTTCCCTGCAAATAACGATAAAACTGTTTAAGTAATGCTGTTAATGAAACAGTCCTTCAACAC